AGTTACATGCAGGGTGAATCTTGAACGACCAAATCTCTAAAGGAGGCTAATGATGTGGGAATTGAGCAAGACGATATTTTTTTTTTTGTTACCTGCCTCAGGTTGGTAAATGTTTCAGTTCAGGATATGGGACCCTCTGTTCTTTTGTGCTAATATAAATCAACAATTATAGATTAATTAAAATAGAGGAGCTTCTCACACCTGAAGCTTCTAACTCTAAGGAAGGTGAAATATAAAAAATTTTATACTAAAGAGTGTTTGACAACATAAACCAAAATTGTATTAAGCCAAATAGAATAGATTGTTTCTACAAAAATGTATGCACCAGATTTACGATAGCAAAAAGTGAAAACAGGATACTCTTTTGTCATTCAAATGCTAAGAATGAGCATGTTTTAGGAACAAATACATGTAAAATATTTTACAGAGAACAACAAAGCATCAAGATGTATTACAATAAAACATTAAATGATTACAGAAAGGCAGTAATCTGTATAGTTCTGTTCTGTTTTGTTTTGCTTTGCTTTGTTGAACTGGCTATTCTCACTTGCTTTCAAATTCTGGCAGTATCAATATTCTCCAGTTTGATTGGTGACCAGTCTGAACTTATCCTACTTGCTTTTAAGAACAAAGACAAGAGAATGGCTACCTCTATTCATCTATTATTGTTTAAATAGCTGTCACAGCTTCCACGATGTCTGTTTCCATGTTATCCGGTGAAAGAATAAAATAGAATGGCAACAAACCAAATACAGTGAAAAATGTTTGTTGTATTTGGCCCAAATCAGCTGCTGTTTGCAAATAAAATCTGGTTTGAACAAAACAGGTGAATTTTGGAAATTGAGGAACAATGGATGGAGTGGATGTAGCATTTGCAAATATTTTAAAGATATATTGCATTCGGACTTGCTTATTATGGTGATTTAGTTCACATGTCAAGGCACATACTCATCTGTGCTCAGATACTGCAGAAGCTTAGGCAACAGCTTGTCCTATCCTTGTTTACTTGTTAATTTCTAAGACCTTGGTTCCCAGCACAAGCCATGGCAGGCCTGGACACCTCTTTGTTCTGTCTTGTTCTTTCTTTCCCTCCCACCCCTTTATTTACACTGTTGTGCTCCCAACTCTGACAATGGAGTTGTAGCTTGACACTCTTTTCCCTCTTGCCCCGACTTGTCTTAGGATGCTTCTTTTGATGTGTTTAGACTGAAAATGCCAAATCTCTGTCTCCCAGCAAGGGATCATCAGTTTTGCAGCATTGCTTTGCTAGTACATTAAAAGGAACATTAGTAGTTCCTTTGCAACAGTTTAAAAGATGTGAGGCTAATGATTATTTGGAAACAAATACACATCATCGTATTGAGAAAAGAGGAATTCTGCAGGAATGGAAGATTTTTAAATGCTTTAATGGCAAGAGGTCATATTATTTTGCTACTAAGATATGCAGATATGTTTTAATTGGCTGTGTTTACAATGTGGTTTTTCTTAAAAATGCATTTATTTTCAAGATTCTCTCAATCATTGCTTATCTCACATCCACAAATATCCATGCTTCCTGTGTATAATACATACATTTGCTGTTTCAAACATACTCACACTCAAAGTTTATTTCACATGGGACATCAAGAAAACAAAGTCACATTAGTCTGGCTTCTTTTTTCTGAGTTGACATTTCATTAAAATAAGTTCATAGTAAGTTCAGCTCTCTAGTCTTACCCTTCAGTGTAAATTTGTTTCTGTTATTTATTATAACATAAGAGTTTGGATGTTATTTTGAGTTCATACCATTCAAACCTTTCTTGAGTTACTTTGCCTATTTTAAAATCATGCCACATGTTAAGAAAATCTTTGCAAACTTCACAAAATGTTTTGAGTATGCAGAAAGTACAGCAAACTTAGGCATTATTTATTTTTAAAGTAGTAATACAGTAAAAGATTTAATGTCTTGCTTTAATTCTGTGACAAGGCCTGTATTAGGAGCTTTCTGTATCTCAGTAATTGCATGGAAGAGCATAGTTTTAAGTGACTTAAGGCTTATGGAATTATTAAGTGGGTCAGTTTTATGTAGTAGGTATTAAAATACTTCAACAGTTTGAGACCTGAAATATTGGTAAGATTCTAAGTTGTCTTAGAAAGTATGAGAGGTCATTGGTTCATTCCTCTGACAAACCTAGAGGCAAACGACATATTTTTTCTTACTTTACTTTCTCATTTGTATGAATCAACTCTACCATGCATCCTACTGATTGGACTCTTTCATGCTATACTGTGCAAGTCCAATACCTTCACTGGAACCATTGATATAAATAAATGGCCAAAAAATTCAGTGATGTAATGCAGAAGAGGTTTTGTAGGTTTGTTGTTTTTTTTTTTAATGTTGGGTAAGAATCATTTGGGAATTCAATATTTGCAGCAGAGCTAAAAAAAAAGTTTCAGCTATGCAATAATACTGTGTATTGCCTAACCAGTTTTGTTGAAGTTTTGAGTTAGTTCTTTTGATTAGTGAAAGCATAACAATTCTGACAGCAGTTTGGAAAAAAACATTTGGTAATAATATTTCACACTAGAGTAGGATTTGTGAAGATGAACTAACAGGATGATCTGAGAATAGTAAGTTAGTTTGCAAAACCCAGGAATACCTAATTTATTTTTCCTAATGAAGTGGTGAATAATTCTACAATAGTTTAAAAGTTGGGAAGAAAAGAAAGAAAAAACTGAGGGCCAAACTTTAGTATGCTACTGCAAAATTACTACAGAGATGTCCATGTTGCTGTGGGGTAGGATGAGGATTATGATACATCATGAGAGGATACATCCATAGACTACATTTTTTAAAGACTGCTTTGAATCTCCTTAGGGTAGATAGGTAATGGTTCAGTAATCTACAGCCATTTTTTTTTCAGCACTTTGTGACATGACTGGAAAACTTAAGTACAGCTGATAAAAATTTTTATGACACTGAAGGGGCTGAAGCTTTCCTTGGTCGACATCAGTTCCTTTCACAAAGATTACTTTGGTAAGCTTTTGAATGGCGACTTTATGAGAAAGGAGTAATTGTGGCACAAAGTGTGACAAATAGGAGACATGAAACAGGCTCTTACTCCTTGTATAGGCTACGCTCTAGCCCGAGAGACAGTGAAGTAGGAAGAGCACCTTCCATGGTAGGTCTGATCTCATCAAAAGTAGAACTTTCTGTCTGAGCTAGTCAGTTTAGGCTAGTGAAGTACGAAGAGCACCTTCCATGGTAGGTCTAATCTCACCAAAAGTAGAACTTTCCGTCAGAGCTAGTCAGCTTAGGCTTTTCTTACAGTCAACAGACACTTCTAGAGGAAAGTATGTATCCTCCTGTAGTAGAAGCCTGTGATAGTTCAGATGGATTAGTACCTCTAACTGGTGTCTGCTTCACCCCACTGGCCGCAGAAAGAACTAAGTGGGGCAAGCCCAGAAGCAGATGTCCAAATGCCTGTTTGGTATTTCTGTGGAGGGACATACTGGGTGAGACTTTTACCTTAGCACTGTAAATACTGACCAGCACAACAGAGCTGGTGAGGAGATGGGGCAGGAAATGTGCACCTGAAGATTTTTGATGGAGATTTCTTCCTTCTGTAGTAACAGTGGATGGGAATTGTTGGAATGAACTGGGACTTTGAATTCTGGTTTTCTGGTGCTGGGGTCATCAAAGCCTATACTTTAACCCTTCATTTCTGTGGATTTCAGTTTGCCTGGTCCTAGGCTATGTCCACTTCAGGAAGTACTTCAAACCAGTCGAAGAGAGAGCTCTTTTTAGGTAACTAGGATCAGAATTTCCATATAATAAAAACAATTCCTAATGTACATGATAGGATAAATTGGCGAAATACAACTATTATTGAAACTATCATTAAAATGCAGAAAGAAAATGGAATTAAAATACCCCCAAATATATATCTTATAATGATCAAAGCCAAAATGGAAAAGACCTGACAGACTCTTCTGTAGTCAAATAGCTGTTCAGAGATCTGCATAATAGTAGGCGTATATTCTGATGCCCTTGTCTTGTATTGAGATACATCCATATCTGTCAGTTAATGATTAAGCCCTTGGTAAGAAGAGTATGTATAGATATATGTATTTATCTATATGTATAGATACTTAGTTTTCCTTTTGGAGAATTCAGATTAACATCTGGTGCAAAGAAATTGACCTAAATTTCAGTATCATTTATTTATTTATTTATTTTCATTTACTTTATAATCCATTCCCAGATTATCTTTGATACTTGATTCTTAGAAGTCTTCCAGCTGTGAGAGTTTTTTCCCATTGTGATGTCAGTACTGATCAGATCTGATTGTTAGAAAGATCCCACTAAGGAGTTTAGCACTAATTGTTAGAAGATGTCCGTGCTTAAAAAAATTAGGCCAGTGATTGTAACCATGCTGTTAATTTCATGTATTGTTTAGAGCACATTTCAATTGTGAGAATCAGGTGTACTTTCTTGATTAAAAATGCATTGAGGAGCTACAGCTTTTCTCAGTGTTGCTGAATCTTCTGGGCTCTAAGTGAAACCATTAAGAGTGGGAAGGGTTAATTGTACGGGAAGCCTCATATTCAAATATTTCTTGTATACAAAATATATGTCACGCTAGAAAATCTTCTATTGTCAATCCAAATAGAACACAAACTAAAATGAGATAATTGGGAAGGTGCCCATAAAGTCAGCCTGAATATATTATCACAAGTATATGTGAGATAATATTTGTTTTAAAAAGATTCTATGGCACTGTAAACTCAGTCTCATTAGAGACTGCATTTAAAAGGCTTATAAAGTTACTCATTAATGTTATCTTGTTGTATCTCCACAGCTTTTTCATTAAAGAAAATTCAGCAGAAAGCATTTTCTCCTGATAGCAGGAACCAATTTGCAATAAATGTTCTGGAAACCACTAGGGAAGCCATTACTGAGGTCTAATAAAAACAGACAAGCGTAACTTGTTCTATATTTTTGTTTCAATCACATACAGATGAGACCCCGCTCTCCACACCAACCGCAAGAGACAGCCTTGACAAACTTTCTCTAACTGGGCATGGGCAACCACTACCTCCGGGTTTTCCATCTCCTTTTCTATTCCCTGATGGATTGTCCTCCATAGAGACCCTTCTGACTAACATCCAGGTAGGCCTTTCTGTAGATCAGCTTAAAGGGATGGAGAGGTGCCAGTTGCAGATTTGTCTAAATTAAAATAACCATTCTAGCTTCATCAGTTTCATAAGATTATTTGGATCAACTAATTTACTGAAACTTCCTAGTAATTTAGGTTTTAAAGGAACCACAGCAAAGAAATGAATTTAGAAGCTGTCAGATATAGTACATAAAAATGCAGATTATGTATTAAACCACAGCAGAGAATTCAATTAAAATTACATTGGTGTGTTTAACAACATTTGTCTTAAATGCTCTTTTTGTTACATGCTATTGAAATGTGTCTTACTGTTTAAATTTATCTCATTTACTAAGCAGAGAAACATTTCTTTAATAAATAGTTATTTTAAATTGCTGGAGTGCCAAGGTAGATTGATATTTAAAGCTATTTGAAGTATGTCTCCCATAAAAGCATTACAAAAAGCACTTCTTTTATAAATAAGCTCATTTCACTTAAAGTACTGCCTTCAAAGGGTATTACCAAATTTTATGCAGATTTCATGTTCAGTAGTCACGATCTCTACTGTGTGTACAGTACAACCTGATTCAAATACTATTTAAGGTATACACTGGCATCTTGGAGCCAAGATGTTAGTGTTTCATATTAGAATGAAGAATGGTTTTGTCTACAGATTCAGTGATCGTGTGTTCCCCACATGCAACTTTTGCAGAAGTGTGGTTGTACATTACATGCAGAAGCCAAATGATAGTGCAGGAAATAATATAGCCATATTGTATTCATTCCAGATATGCCTCATCTCTGCAGCTACTAAATTCTAACGTGTTTGTCACAATATTTTTCCCTGCTTATTCCTGCAAATACATAAAATCAATTGTATTTTGTTCAGCAAAGGCTATGAAAGAGTAAGGCCAAATCCTATTCATTTTACTTTCTTAAACAATCTCATTAAAGTTTATGGCACTTCAGAATTGTTTTATGAAAAGTATATGATCCATTCATTGATGATGTTTTGATGTTTTGAAATCTAATAATGAAAAAATACTGCTATTTAAGAATTAAGTATTGCTATATAAGCCTGGTCTGAAAGAGTATATTTATGATCGCTTTTTGTGGTTCTGAGACTTAGGATCTTAAATACTGAAATCATAAGCCAAGGTAATTCTGCAAGAGTTAGCATTCTTCTAAAAGATCTGCAATCTATAAAGAATGTATTTTCTTCTGAAGGAAGAAATACAGTTAGCATATTATGTAATGTTTTAGCTGTGCATGTATGTACAGGAAAGTTCTTAGTAATTTTTTTGACAAATGTGTGTACTCAATGTCTCTAGACAGGAATCTAATGAGCAAAGCATTCAGCATCAACAGGTTAGCTAATCTTGTGATTGAATATGAAAGTAAGTGCTGCACTACTTCAGGATAAATGACCAGCATTAATTTGCCAAGAATGTATTCAGTTTTGTTTTACAGAAAACATAAAGTGAAATTCACTCATTGCTTCCCCCCCAAAAAAATAAAAATAAAAAACCCAACCAACCAACAAAACAACAAAAAGCCAACAACCTAATCTTATCTGGAGTGAAGAGCTAAAATAAAAGGCAATACGGTAAAGAAACCTGAGGATTCTTTATGCCTCATTGTGCTTTTGTACTTGCTGCTCCTTACTTTGGGGTTCCACATCATGACAAAAGGTGGGGCATAAGTCCTTTTGGATTTTTTCACTATATATCCACATTTCACTATATGGTTTCCACAGCCTTTTGTATACCATTAAGGTGTTTTTCCCCCCATAGATACAGTCTTTATCAGGACAACATTAGAAAACCACTTCTTAACAACAACAACAACAAAATTGAAATAGCTAGTTTGATTTTCCCATCTGTGTAGAAAAAAAAAGTTAAGTATCCTCTTTAAAACAGTAGACTCTATTACAATAACCTGTGCACAATATTGTCAATTTCTGTAATCAATTCCATTTAAAAATGTTTCTGCATTTAGCATTAGTTGCAAGGAGAGGGCCCCTGGCCCCAGGCCCAAGGCCCACAGATGAGTGACATACTGTGATACTGGTACTCTCAGAACTGAATTTTACGTTTTTGACTACAAATTTGAGCTCATTGATATGATTTGTGGAAAATGGAACTTCTGTACACTTGTGTCTGCTTGCAATATAATTTTTTACTTTGCTAAGAAATGCATAACCACTACCTGAAACGCATGATGTGTTCAGTACATGAGTCAGAAGAACTCTTTTTACTGGGTAGATTCTTCTTTGCTCTCTTATGGTCCAGATGAATTTTGCATCCCTTTCAGTACAGAGGTATGGATTCAAAGAGGAGGAGGAGCAGTAAGATCCCTCACCAGTCTCTTCTTGCAGCTGTGCTAGCAATCGAACAGATATAACTTTCCCAAAAAGATCATCTGGCCTGCAGTCCATTCCCTGCATCCAGCACCAAGGTGCTTTTGAAACAGAAAGTTAGCACAAATCTAGCCAAAGGCTAGATGGGTGGCCTTGGTAAATGCTGTTCTTTCTTCCCCAGAATGATGCATGATGAAAATACAGATGTGTCCTTTTTTAGAAAGGGTGTATGTCTGCTTGAGAAATACAAGTGTACATCTTTGTTAGGTCATGGGTCTGGGGTGCATGCACGACCTGTCACAAATGGTGGTGGTGGTTGCCTGGCTACACCAGTGTGCATGTTCATGGTAGATATTTGTGCTTGTGACACCCTTGTGTATATTCGGTTGTGTGAGGTGCAGGATCCACATGATCACTGTAATATAGACTTTGGGCACCTCTAAAAGAGGTTGTAGAGCCTGTCCTGGTTTAAAATGAACAGAATTAGGGTACTACATGGGCACTAGGTTCTCTAATTTTGACCTTTATTAGGGTAAGCAGGATCCTAAACTTTGCCATGGGGACAATGCTTTGGGTATGTGAGCAAACATTTCTGAACACTTTTGATGTGCTAACAGTCTTGAAAATGCTGAAGAGTTTAGGCTATTGAACTTTGTGCCTAACTCACATCCGTTTTAGAAGTCTGAGTCATCCTTTAAAATTAGCCACTAAACATAAGTGAATCTGTGTCTTCCGTCAATACTAAAATTAAATGGATAACCCCTAATCACTAGTTCGTAATTTTATGCAAATGTTAGGCAAGTTTATTTGCTGTCCCTGTCACCAGGTGCTTCTAATTAGGTTTATTTCCTTTTGTATATCGTATGTATGTTTTTCTTATTTTTCCATAAATACTTACTGAAACAAAAATACAATGTTTAATTATTTGCACATTTAAAGAGGAGATAATAGCAATATGCAGTACCCAGAAAAACCTGTTTCTTGCTAGGGACTGCTCAAATGCAAAGAATAAACTGTAACAAAATATATTTAAACAAATACACACATAAAATAAGGAAATGAGATTGGGGACATATTTTCTTATTCAGATGTATATCTGCAAATCTAAAAGGAAAAGTAAAAAAATTTCCCCAGCTAGCTTAAATTCAGTGATATGTCTGTTCCTTTCCAATGTGTATTTGTTGATTTCTTCCAGATTAAATGCTGAAAGTCTGTGTGCAGCTGCAGGGAGGATGAAGGGTGATGGGAGATGGACCACAGCAAAATGCTGTGTGGGTGCTAGTAAGAAGGCTAAAGCTGTTACCATATCCCTTGCATAAGTTCACCTTTCGAGTCATGGCCTGATTATGCCAAAGTATGTTACAGCCACAGTTTCTCATGATACTGCAATATTCTTGGGTAAAAGTAACATTCTTTTAAGCTTTTAGAGTCTGAATCTTTTACAGTCTCCAAGCTGAATTTCCATTAATGACTAAAGGATAAATTAGTTGCACCCTTACAGCTATATTTTTCTATCAAGACTGTATTGTATTGACACAGTCTTGCTGCTAAGTATTGTTAAAGAGATATATAAAGTGGTTGAAAGTATCCCATTGATATTAATAAAAGAAATGCATGATTACAAACTAAATTCCCTTATGAAAACAAAGCAAACTACTGGCTTTATTGCCGTGAGTATCCTACATCTTTACCATCTATGACTAAATACATGAGAGAAAAATACTGCAAGCACTGGATAAAGTAAAAATTGCAGGTTTCCTTCATGTTGTCTTATTTATCTCCTGCTAAAATTCAAGAGAATTGTTTGATTTTTCACAGAAAGTATTAATGGAAAATGTCATTTATACTTGTGCAATATGCCTCTACCTGTGATGAAGATGCTTATTCTGAGATATTACAGAAATGTCTTTCTGGAGTAATCTGTAGAGATAGTCAAGCTGCGTTATCTTACCTTGCTTATGTTACTAAAAGTGAGTAGTCAGTTACAAATAGCAAATATTCAGAAATTAACCTGTGAAGTTAGCTAAAACATATGTAATATATTGATTTTTTTTTTGCAAGCCTTTCTGAGATAGTTTTAATGATGAGAGCGTACACATGGTGTATCATTTCCTGGCTAAAAGAGAAGGAATGTTACTAAAAAGTGTTTTCACCATAAATAACTAATATTGCAAAAGAAAGCCCCTCAGCTACAAATCTCTGGAAGCTAGGAGGTTTGACTAGGAAAACTTCACTGTGTGCATACCTTGTTCTTCTGGTTTTCCTTCAGTCACTGTGGGCAATTGCTGGAAACAGGGCATGATCTTTTACTTAGACCATCAGACTAACTAGTAAGACCATTTTGATGTCATATCTAACTGTGTAGCTAACTAAATTATGTTAGATGGAACACACTGTAGGTGAAGCTAGAAAGAGAAAGAGCTAATGGGCAACACATTATTAATATTTTTTAAAAATAATAATGGGGGATACTGACCTTAAGGCTCAGGTAAGGTTTGACGCATCTGTAGGATCAGTTGACTGATCTAACATGATGATGTTTTTGGATACATTGGAGAATGGGAAGGAACATCAACCTTATATAAACTTAACATTTTATTTGGGACATTTCTGAAGAATTTATCGATGAAAATATTAAAACAAGTGCATTAAAATAAACAAACCAAATAAGAACGATCTATAAATCTTCAGGGGAAAAATGTTCATCTTTGACATTACATTGAAATAAAAATAATTTAGTAACAGTAACACAGAGGGGAAGAATGGCATGCTATGTTTAAAGCCTGGCTCCAGATAGAGCCATACTGTATTAAAACAAATACAGAACCTGAGCATGTTCACTACAATTATCATTATCCAGCCTCCATAACATCTGACCTTCCCTAAAGGGAGATATTTTCTTTTTGTTAATGTCCTGTGTTGCACTGCATTTCCCATTGTCATTGGCAGCATATTGATTTAATATCAGGTTAGAGGATTAGCCATAGCAAATACAAGTTGCACATACTGTATTTGGTATAATCTTTTACAGCTGATCCACTGGGAGAATTAATAGAATTTCATGCAACTCTGAAATTGCTATTCCTGTTCCGAGGGGCACTGATGATTTTTAGATGCTGTACTTTTTAGCTGCTTTTATCACCCCCTTCTGCATTGCATACAGGGACATATTGAATGTTTCCAGTATTTTTGCATTAGAGCTGTCATTGGCAGCAGCAACACTTTTGATATGCATCAGCTTGGCTCTAGTGCAGATTTTTTTCACATTGGACGCCTACTGATGTGCACTGATTTAACTTCTAAAAATGAAACTTAATTTTGTGTAGCTTATAAGTAGTCCCTAGTGAGTCTTGGCTCCAAAAAGCTAATATTTTTCAGACATAATCAGCAGCAATAGGTGATATATTACCATTATCTACGTTAGCAAGTATAAAAAAAGGAAAGGTTGGGGGAGGAAGTGTGGTGTAAAAATTCAATGTAATGTGCTTTTAGCAGCTTCATACTTGCAGCAATTCTTAATGTAAAATTACAAACATTAGTGTTACACTCTAGCATTGTTCTCCATGTTTATTCATAATGATTGCTTCATATTTAAAGAACACCAAAATATTGTGTTTTGTCAGCCAAGGACAATAATAGTTTAATAGTAATTTATTTTAAACTGCTACTGATAATACAACCAATCAACACATTAAGTGGTGCCAACATTGGCATCTTGCTAAATAATCTCTAGACTTTGCACTGAGAGTACATCTTTCAAAGATAAGTCAACAAGAGCAATCAGAGCAGAAAATTAGAATTTGGTATCTTAGAATTAAAATACAGCTAAACTAAAGTTTTAATTGGGGTGATCTAAAAGGGCACTTGATGTAATGATCTCTTTCATTTGTTACTAATTGTTTGTTCCTGATGAAGAAACATGTACATGAATGTAGTTGAATTGAGTAAAGATGGCAGTTTCTTTAGCAGCTCGATTTTATTGTTAAACAAGACAGATTGTAAGAATTTGGGAGGAGGATGTTTGCAGCTTTAAATTTACTTGACAGTACACTTTTCATCAACAAATATTTTTCGTGTAATTTTACTTGATCTGGTTTATTAATGATTTGGATGAATCGTTCATGTAAGTGATGAGCTGGAGGAGATTAAAATACTCAAGTGTTTAAGCATATGCAGAAGCAGGTATTGATAAACAACTCCTACTTCAATTTCTTATTATTTCAAGTGCATCCTGTATAGAAAACATAGTTTATGATGGCTGTAAATGTAGGAGAATATGACAGGGGAAGGGAACAGAATTCAGGTGAATATTAACTTTTTACAAAATATATTGGAAAGGCTTTAGAAATATTTCAAATTGTATTTTACTTTGCATAGGTCTGTAGAGCTTTAGCTGTCTTTAGTAGTCATCCAGGTTTAACATCCAACACAAAATACCGTTGTTTTAGCTATTTTAGAACAGTATTTGGTCCTCTTAAAGAGAACTGCTAAAACTTTAAGCATATTTGTAAGCACATTTGGTGTGTTACCGTTGTTAGATATTTTCAAATGTGGTTCTATATTTATGTAGTGTATATAATTTTGGTGACCATCTGAGCCTTGCAGTCAGAAGGTGTGGCGTTCTTTCAGCTCCTGTGGACTTTAATAGATTGAAGTGTAATAGAGCTGCAAAGCATTAAGCTCTGAGTGAGCAACACTTGAGGCAACAATTCAGTTAAGAATGAGGATGAGAAGTACTGAAAATAACAGGCTCTGAAAACAGACTTAAAAGAGGAGTTTGAAGGACTTTTCAAAGCAGGCATTCGCATTGGGAAGATTAGTGGGATAAATGTGCAGACTAACACTCATGAAAAATACTTTTTCCATTTCTCAAGTATCATCATGCTGGCTTCTTTTTCCATTCCTTTTTGGAACTATTTTAAACAATTTTAATGAAAAAACATGCAACCCAGAATCGAATTTTAGGAAGTGTGCCTGAGAGATGAGAAAGATTACTTGGGAGTTGGGGAACCTGATTTGATGTCTGTAGTGTGATTGTTCTGAAGCCGGGTCTTGAGTATGAACCTTTTATCTGTTAGCTGAATGTTTCCCTAGCAGAGCTACTGGGGAGTACTCTTCAGTGTCTCTTGTTGGTACTGTTTTGCTTTTTATCAGTAATTAAATCTCTGTTGGGTCAAATTATCTCTACTGTTGTCAGGAGTCTTGCTTAGCATACAGAAGAGTTAGGTTCATAACCAAGGAGGTTCATATATGCCTATCCATGCTTAATTATTTAATCTATTATGATAGCTTCAAGAGGATAGATGCAGGTGTAGACCTAAGAGCCTGATGGCCAGGCTTCTGGAAAATGGATAAGAAAATCTTTCTCCATTCCACATTCATTTATTTTGATGCAGTTTTGCCTCTTCTTTTTCATACCCTATTTCAGTGTCCTAGCTAGTTATTGGCTGCTCTGGGATCTTCCTGTTTCCTTGCAAAAAACAAGTAACTGTGAAGTTGAAATTCTCAAGAGAAGTTTAGAATAGGCTGAATCAGTATTTCCTGATCTAACAACAACAAAATAAGTTACAATTTATTTCAACCATCCCAGTTCAAGAAGTTGAGAGATGACTGTGTTTTGTCTCTGCTGTGAGGTAACAGTTGTACGAGGTCAGGGAATGGACTTTTTAAAACAGAGGTGTCTTCCTGCTTTGTGACTGTTCTCTGCTTAGACTCCCAATAACCCTATCTTCCTTGGAAACCCTATGAAAAAAACACTAAATATTTGAAAATAATAGTAGTTAACAATAAGGAGCAAAATGGCAAGCCTTTAAAAGAGCCCTTCTCCCTTTCGTAATTTCCATTGGCTTGAGTTGTGCTAGAGATTGAATTTCCCATTTGTAGATGATGTGATTGCGAGACTGCCAATTCTTTTTCAATGGGACAGCTTTTTGCTCTTGTCACAGGCAAGTGCCTGACGGAGGCTTGTCTTTTTTATCTCTTGAAAAGAATAAACCTATCTTGATAGCTTTTTCACATTAGTTATATGCACAGTCAAAGGTGAGTTTGTTTTCTGGGAAAACTTGACTCCTACCTTTTAAAATTTATTCCCACTTGTTAAAGTGAATTCTAGTAGAAATTTGTGGTTGATAATTGGGAGGCTTTGACCCAGTAATAGGATTATTTAATTTGTAAAATGTCACATGACTAATCAAGGAAAAGTAACGGAAGTTAGTTATTATGTCAGCTGTTCTAACATTCTTCAAATATTATCCAACTTTATCTTTGAACAGGGTCTACTAAAAGTTGCTATAGACAATGCCAGAGCTCAAGAAAAACAGGTCCAGCTGGAAAAGACAGAGCTGAAGATGGAGCTCTTCAGGGAACGAGAACTGAGGGAAACGCTTGAAAAGCAGTTGGCTGTAGAGCAGAAGAACAGAGGTAACTTAATTAAGCAGACATAAACACCTTGTAATTTATTTCCTTAGGAAACCTAATCTTTTATCAAACATCTGTGTTTGATCAAAGCTTTTTCCCCTTACCTCACATTATATCCAGGCTGACTGCAATGCAGGACGTTTTACAACCTGCCTGATTCTGCATAGGATTTGGAACAAGGAACTTTTTTCCCAAAGTTTTACTTGAATATTACTTACTACACCTGTAATACACAGCATAATTATAAATACCATAGGTGCTGTTATGGACTTTGGCAATTTGTAATCATGATGAGAAATGATACCTATTGAATACAGAGACATTTTGTATCAAGTTTAAGAATCTGCGAAGTTTTAGGAACTCTTGTTTCTGTTCTTATGCGTTAGGGTCATATATTGCATATTTAGGCACACTGTACGTAATATAAAGATAGTAATAATATATAAGCCCTTTAGAATGCATAGTTGATCAAACACATTTGTAGAAGGAACAATTAAGGTTCTTAATAAGTTAGTAGCATTAGTTACATATCAAATATTAACCTCAGCCCACTGTTAAGCCTATACATGTTAAAGATTTTTAAATAATATTTAATTGATATAAAGGTAAGATGTTTTACAGTGATTTGCATTAACTATTTGCATTATGAGCATGTTCCCATCTTTCTTTATGTGTCTATTTTTCTGTATATGTATGTTTTGCTCTTTAATGGTGTATAATTACTTTGCCAGAGACAGTTAACTTCTGTTAACTTGTTGTTTAACACAGACCTTGACAAGTCAGATGTTGTTTTTTGCAGGACTAGAATTATAACGCTCTTCTTGTCCAGTTTAATTTTCTGGGAACCAGTTAAATAGGGAATCCTGAGAACACTTGAATTCCCAACCAGTATCATTATATCTTTAACTAACATGCTAGCAGTAAGTACACAATATAATCCTGATTCATGCCTTGACTTATTAAAGGGTAGGACTGTCACATCATTAATTACCCTTTTTAAACTTTTGACTATACATTTTTAAAAGCAGTTATTATTAACAATTACCACAGATGTGCAATGAATTATCCCTTTGTCCACAACTGGCCCATTTTGCTCAGTACAGTTGCACTTCTTACACATTTAAAGTAGTTTTGTAAAAGAACTCGATTATTTTTCACATCCTTTTACCTTGGTGTCTCACAACTGCTCAAATGTATATTCCTTTTTAGAATTAGGCAATCACACGGGCAATAGAAAAGGTTGGGGGAAGAGGGAAAGCATCTGACTTTACCTGAGTTTTGCCAACTAACCTCATTTAAGTTAATATAAGTTCACTTTCTGGTCAATAAAGAGATTCGTATATCCTGTTCTCTGACAGGTAGGTGGGATCAGTTACGCTGTGAAGACTTCTTTCTCTTTCTTTTCGTTCCAGAGGGAATATAGTTAACTAGGATGGACTAGACACATACGTTTTAAGCAGTTAAAATTAAGTAAAATTAATTTTACACAAAAATATGTGTCAAGAAAGAGCATGGGATAGTCCCTTATTTTATTCAGGATACTGAAATAATTGACAATGTTATTGTCATGCATCAGCATGATGGATTATCTGCTTTTTTATATGTGTCCCTCTACCAATAATATTGCACTGGTAAAAAAGTCAAACCAAAGAGGAATGGATTTGAACACTTAATGGTGGTATACAACAGAGCAAATATAATGACTGTCTCTGCTAGTGGATACTTCTGTACAAAGAAACAAAAATGATAGATTATTCTTTAGAAACAGATCCAAGTAGGTGAGAAAAAATAAGGCTAGACTGTAATTATTGTGAGAATTTATTCTTCCATTAAAGGTAGAAAAATACATAGGAGGCTTTGCCTACTATCAGTTTTCCAGATAGCAAGTATCATGTCTTAAAGTTTCACATGTTTTAATGAAAGCATGAGCAAGATTGGAGAAGTATACCACATCTCTGGTAAGTTAAGGGATACCATGTGAAAAAAACTGAAATATACTTAAAAGCTACAGCGTAGAAACACGAGTCACTGTGTCACATACAGGTCAAAACCCATTAGGTGAATGAGACCTTCAGCATTAGCAATATCTACCTTCTGCTCATCATGTTAACAAAACTGAGGATCTTTTTCCTTAGTTGCTACATCTGAGTATTTTTGCCATGTTTTTATCATTAAATTCACTGCTGCTACTGTATGTTCTACAGAGCTGCTTATTTACTGTACTCTTTCCTTCCTTCTTTGTAAGTATTCCAATTAGTGATTCCTAAGGCTGTAGAATGTGTCTCATCAACTGGTGAAAGTAGGATAATATCTCTTCTGCAAGCAGCTACACAGTAAGGGCTTGCTAATTCTGTCTCTGACTGCTGTAGTCACATCTACAATGTGTCAGCCATGATGACATTTTAATTCAGAACACAACATATGTTTCTTTCTCATTTATTGCAATCACTTTCAAAGTACTTATAATGAAAACATTAAAACCATGCGATGATTCAAAATGTTTTTAGTTTAGCCTTTGTAGAGATACTAGCTGTTCTTTGATAGTGTAAGCTAATTAGCCAGTAAAGTAGTTGGTACTGTACAAAATGAGAAAGAACCAAAATTCCAAAGTCTTGGATATAAATTATGTAACTCTTCTGACTACAGGGTATGTGCGTATATTCATTTTGTGTCTGAACAGTTCTGTGTAACAGCACAAAATATGATGAAGTTTCATCCTGATTTTGCAATGATTTCCACTGTACAGTTTGAAAAGAAGAGATGCAAGGAAAACAATTTTCTGAATTAGAGCCCTCTAATGCTTAATTTTAAAATACTTCTTCCTCTCCTGATATTTTCCCTCCCATTTGACAAAGCGAAGTAATATTTACTTGTCTGGGGGATCCAGCACTGTAAAGGATTTGCAGTGAGTTCTTCAAGGTTAGTTGGCTTGAAGGGGCAGAAACTGACAGAGCAAGAAAGAGAAAAGGGAAAGACAAAGGGAAATGTGGATAAGAAAAATATATGGGAAGAGATTGAACACCAAGAAGTTGGAGGGCTTGCAGGAAGAGGCAGGTTGGAGGGGAGTTAGAAAGCTCAGGGCCTTCCTCTAAGGAATGAGGGCCACAGCAAAGTGGGGGCTGGGCTCCTTGCACAGCCTAGGCACCGAAGCAGCTGGATCTCCCTCTTGTGGGAGAGAAGCTGCAGGCAGGGAAGCAGGCAGACAGGGAACTTCATTGCTATGTGTATACTGCATGTTATGGGCAATAACAAAATGGTGCACTTAATCCCCCCCCTCCCCCCCAAATTACTAATCTTTAGAGACTGAGACTTGTCTACATCAGATGATGTAAAAGTACATTTCACTGCTAGTTTTCTGGTTTGGACATTCACAGGTTCTCTTCTGTTTATAAACAAAATATATGCTATAACTGAGTATCACCTACAGTTTTCAGTACCATGGTACAGAACAGTAGCTTTTAGAATATCCCAGTGTGATTTCATCAAATTTCAAGTAATTGAAATTGGTATTGTGTAAATTCATCAGTTTATCTGAACTGTTGCATTTGTAGCATTTCTTGGGACTATTAATAGGTAATCATGTAGCCAAGTTTCAGGTGTAACTCTGAGTTCACTGAATTTCTTTTTTCCTAGCAATAATTCAGAAAAGGCTAAAGAAGGAAAAGAAAGCAAAGAGGAAATTGCAGGAAGCACTTGAATTTGAGACTAAACGACGGGAGCAAGCAGAACAGACGCTGAAACAGGCAGCTTCAACAGATAGTCTCAGGGTCCTAAATGGTAAGAAGCCTTAGTGTCGTTAACTTTCAATTTACGTGCTAGAAGAAGCTTGTTATATTGAAATTTATAACATGATGGGAGGGAAAAGAAAGAAAATTTCTTCATTCCAGCAATGCCTCTCTCTTTATTGTTTTGTTACTTTATATAGTACGTGCAAATAAACTCACTGGAGAGAATGTTCAAACTAGGACAATTTTATATTATTAGCTTGATAAGTCAATTTTTTTTCTTCTTCTTTTTCTCCCTCCTTTTATGCTTGAAAAATCTATTGCTCATTAATCTTCCTAGTCTAACAAAAAATTGTCCTGGCCTCCAGTCATTGTTCAACATTAAAAAACCTGGCAAATGTTGATTGTATTGTAATTCAGAATTGGAGTAACAGGTTGTAAAAAGGGCTATAAAAATCAAATGAAATATGTGTCAGTCTTACCTTTCTATGTTTCTAGACTCTCTGACCCCAGAGATAGAAGCTGACCGCAGCGGGGGCAGAACAGATGCTGAAAGGACAATACAAGGTAGGAATTTGCAAAAGGCTATAAATCTAGATCTTGCTGTATGAGTTTTTCCTCAGCTTTAGACTGCTATTCAAGCATGTAGCCTACCATCTGGGCCACATCAAAACAAGTTCAAACAAGGTCAAGTTCATCTTGCTTGTTTATAAGAGAGACTACATTCTGTGCTGATAGATTTTCTTTAAATTAATAGGTCATTTCTGTTTATAAAGAGCAATTAAAGAAGAATAATTAATTTGAAGCAATATTGGGTTGAATCTCAGACATGCTGAATGCAGATTTTATGCATATGTGTAGTTAGATTTGAGATAACAATGTTTGTACAGGTATATTTGAAACATTTTAAGCCTTCTAACTATACAAATGGCTGAACCTAATGGGTAACATTCAATACATGATGAGAATTTCATAGCTAATATTTAGTGGCAGTTACTGATAGGTGTGTTTCAATAGCTACTCTGAACATTAATGATAAATAAACATTTTGTTCCCTTCTAGGATTTTTCATTTATTATATCTCATTATTTACATTTTAATAAAACAAATCTGCTGAGTAAATTTATACATGAAATACTAAAGAGAGTGATATTACTTCCCCTGTGAATCTAAACATATATATATTGCAAACACCAACATATTGGCAAATAACACATTTTTAAGATAGTATTTATGTTACAATGTCTTCTCTAGTCAACAGGCTAAATCTACCTAGTGAATACTAAACAGTAGAAATAGGATTTGTTTTCAATTGTAAACAAAGATGCATTTTTCAGAGGCAAACCTAAAATGATTAGCTCCAGTAATCACTCTCAATTGCCTTTATTTTGCATTTCGAAGTCAATCATCTTAACCATATCATTTGACATTTTCTGTGTGTTATGTAATTGCATCTTCTAACTCCGTAAGAGTTGTTACTGGTGTGCCACAAGGAGGCTGTACCAATAGGCTAAGAAGACAACAAGCTTTTAATATATTGAGCATATAAGCAAATAAAAAAGAGGCAATAAGTTCTTATGAAAGACAAACCCATAAATTAAACCAAAAATATTTAGATTTAAAACAAATTATGTCTGCAAAATCAGTAACTCAGGAGTTGGAATATGCCAGATTAAATGTTGCCTGGGAAGTGGGTACATGTTACTAGGTTTACTATACCAGAAACCTGCTTTCCTTCCCATAAAATGTATGCTTTATTCAAAGCACCATTTGACATAATTAATTTAGTAAGAATTCAGTCATTATGTAATTTTGTTATTTTGTTATTTTGTATTGTGTTATTTTCTTTGGTGCAAAGGCAGACTTCTAATTTCCTGTGAGGCCATTCTGTTAAACTAGTTACAGCAATACCTGAGCTCTTTGCAAACATTAATTACTTTATCTTCAGAGCATGCCTGCAAAGAAGTGAGGAAGTGAAGTTTGGAGTATTCTGATTTGAAAGCTGGGAAATTGAGTCACAGACACATTAAGATGACAAACTACTTAACTTGCAAGTATCGAGGACCTAATTTTTCAGGAGACACTGCATTTTTGGCAAATGTATTCAGTGTATTCAAATCACTGTTCCTTCTGATTTCAGTTTCACTTATGGGCTGAGATACTGAGCTGGATACTTATAATATGAGCAACACATAATTACTGACTGTTTTGGAAGTATGTTTTCTAAAGGACTTATCCCAAAGTACATAGGAACAGCACTTCAGCTTTTAAACCATGATTATGCATTCTTTTCCAGCTATCCTCTGCCTTCTTATGCTCATTTCATACATTTCCATTTCTGCAAAAAATGAAATCAAGGACTTTACAGGCAACATTCTCAGTAATGATGACCTTTTCTTGATTCATCTGTCTAAAGTGTTGCAGGTTAAAAAAACCAAAAATCTGTAGATTATTTAATTGAAGACTGGACCATGATAGATTCTGATCATGATACTGGATCATGTTGCAAAGGCAACCTTAATTGTGACATTTTCTGTCTCTACTTTGCAGTCTTAACATAAAATTAAACCAGGGTGTTTTTAAAGAAAAGCAAAAAAGAAGCTAGAAATAGAGTTGTCATTTCTCATAGTTTAAAATATTCAGCTTAATTGTCATGTAACAGTTCAAACTTTTAGACCTACCACAATATGTAACCCTACAACACAAATGTAACTGTAGAGGCTTATTGTCTTTGTGGATCAGCTGTTACAGGGTGACAGGTTTCAGAAACAGTTCAAGAAATAGTCAGTAGCGGATGAGTAATGCTACCTGTCAGGACTCTGTGTTCACTTCCAATATTGGAAGGAGGATCCCCTTTCACCATAAGCTCCCTTTTCTGTGTGTCACTCTTAGCACGTATCCCCCTGTCTCTGTCTCAGTTCCTCCTAGTTTCTTCCACCTCACTCCAATTCCAGCTTTTGTCAATGGCTAATCTCACTCTCTTTGCTGTATGTTAAACTTCTTTTCCCTAACTTCACATTCTCTTCTGAAGAAGTTCTATTCTGTGTTCTCTTCTGAACTCAAGTTTCATGCCACCCTGAACCTCTTGTCCAGTCATTTCAAGAGCTGCAGTGACATTCCCCATTACCAGCCTTTTTTGTTTGGTGCCACATCTCTGTCTGTATTCCCTGCTTTCCCCTGCCTTCCTATCAAGTTCCCTACTGCGTTTAGTACGCGTTCTGTTTCATCATCTGCATCTGCCTGGATATCGGGGAGGCAAGCACTGAAGAGTACTCTGTTCTTATTTCAATATTTATCACAGCAACTGCTTGCGGGAATGAGGAGAAAGAGAAGCAGGGAAAAAGCTGCTTCATTCCTGCAGCACTGGGATAAAGCATGCTCAGTACAGATGGGCTCCTTGGCGAATTTAGTTGCAAAATTCTGTAAAAGCTTTCCAATGAGTGAAGCTGAGATTTTTCTGACCCTTTTTTGAGTTTTTATCAGGGCAACAAAGACCATGTCTTTCCAATTTTGCAAGATTTCAGTTATGTCCTTACGTTTTATCTGTAACTGATACATTATAATGCGTACTCTAGTATGCATTATAAAAGCATTATTATATAGAATATACAATATAGTCCATAATAAAGAATATAATACTATCTATCTCTTTCATGTTTCAGGTTCTGGGAAAAAAATACTTACTAGGGAAATACTTTCGTCTTTCTCATTCCTCCCAAAAACATATCTCTATCTCGGTATCAAAGCATGTCTGGGATAATAGTCTTTTTATCCACAATCATTTTTTTTTTCAACTTCCTGTATTAAGCATGCTATGCAGTTCTGTAGCTAAACAAACAAAGGTAGAAAAGCTGTTGCGTTCTGTGGGCAAGTGAAATAATTGAAATACCAAGTGTAATGTCAGCATTTAGGAAAATATGCAAGGAAATCTTAATTAAAAATGAAAATTTTATCTACTATTTATTAAAAATAAAAGGATACTTCTCAACTCACAGTTATATTTAATGTTGATATTTTTAATTACCGCTTCAGTGAGTAAGGAATAAGACTAATTTAAGTGTAAAAGATAATTGCATTTGTCAATAAGGGGGTATGTTGTGTTCCATTTTTCATCATGTAGCACTCAGTCAAATTTACTTTTAGTTCATGCAAAGTCTTTGTAAAATGGGAGTGATAATAAAAAGAAATTTGAGTATGAGACTATAGAAAGAAGCAATACAGGATATTTTAGGGTTGGGTTGGGTTGGGTTTTTTTAAATACTGGGTAGGTAACAGTTCTGGAATATACATAAAATACTAACAAATAATCATAATTAAATAACCCAGTTATGGGTCTCAGATATGCTTGCATATTTTTTATCAGATACAAACAGATACTAAGTTACTAGGAACTGGTGTAGACACTGGTTTTAAATGTTTTCTTTCTTGCTTCTGTTTAAAATAATAATAAAGCAGATTATCCTCTTCTCCATACATATTGTAGGTTCACTAGATGCCTATGCCTAGCTCCCAATCCGGTTTCCCAAGACCCCCTCATCCCACACAAAAAGGTACCATACAAAGATAATGTTTGACTTTTATATACTGTTTTGTTACCAGACTTCTTATTAAGCACTAGAACAATAACATTGACTGCCGCTCTTTCTTTCTTATTTCCATTGACATTTTCCTCCCCATCTGCTTACTTACTCCATATTTTACTTACTCACTCCATATTTGCCTGCCTGTGTTATGTGCCATCATTCAAGCTGTTTCTGAAACCAGCTTCATCGTTTTCTGCTAACAGTATTCTCACCCTGTTCAGTTCCCATGAATTCTCGGGCCTTTTTGTATTTTTTACCCAAATGCCTGGTTGTGTTCTGAGAGACCCTATGCTTGTCCTCAAACTTTTTCTGTCTTACTCCACTATTTTAGTCAGGTTTGACTTAGCTACGCATTTTCCTCTTGCGTAAATTCTCTTCCTTTTGTCCATCACTCAATATTTCGTACCTGAATTCCTTATTCTGCTGCAATTTTTTTCCTTCTAGCATATTATCAGCCTTTCTCCAAATGAGTTTGTTACCTTACTGTCCCTGTCCCGTAGCAAAATCAACTTATGTTTTCTAAGCCCTTTCCCACCGACTGTTTCTTCTTGCCTTTTTCTAATTTTCCATCTCCTCTGTAGGCTCATATTAACAGTGCAGTTAAGTATAATGCTAAGTGGCTTCAGACTATGCTTTACTGATGTAAGGAAAAAAAGCCACTCAGCTACCATGCACATAAAAGCTTCCAGGACCATCTGTCTCTTTTCCTCTCTGTCTCTGTCCCTCTCAGAAAAGACAAGGCAGGAAATGGCGAAGTTGAGCAGATCCAGGAATAAAGAAAGAAAACAACCGCAACTCAGCACGCTGACTGACTGTATAGTCCTGTATGAAGTTACTTGTAAGGCCTTTGAAGGCTACTGAGGAAGAGTGAGAAAGAAATTATGATTCAGCTTTGCCCATACCAAGAACTTAGTGTGTTCATTTTGCTGTCTTAAGTACTAGGGGAAGATGCCCCATAGCTGCCCTCCACATTAATAAAAATTGCTTAAATACAGCTTCAGTTATTTGCCTGAAAACCTAACCTGAATTGTTTTCTGTGTTGGTTTGAAATTTGTTCAATCTATTTTTCATCTACCAAAATCAGTGTAATAATCTCGTCAAACGATAGTCCTTGATTCTTTCTTGCTGTATTTGTGTTTGAAAGATAGCTATCTGAAGGACTTCCACATTGAAAAGGAACTTTTGGTGGTTCTGTGAAGCTTGTGCACAGAGTTCCGCTTCTGATGTATAAATCTTGGACAAAAGCATGTGGAAATATGTGTTGATATTTTTTATGAGATCAAAAACTTTATTGAAAAAGGCCATTATCAAGGCTGTTAAGTCAAGCATTCCAAAATTAGGAAATGGCAGAATTAAGGCTGTCTTCCGCACCTTTGTTCAACTGTCTTTGTGTATGCATCATGATATAATCTTTAATTATATGATTAGATACTGTATTTTTCACAGTACTCTGTCTCATTCAGTGCAGGTGACAAGGATGCAGTTGAATAAATGGATATCCATCCAATATTTTGTCTATCTTTAGTGTTCACTGTGTGCTCTCATGTTTTATATAATACCTGGTTTGTACATAATACTTTCATCATTAGACATCATGCTTTGCAGAAGAGGCACAAATGATTATCTCAATTTCTTTCATATGTTAAATCTTAATTATGGCATTTCCTAACAGTTGGGTGTTTTGCTTTACCATTTGAATAATGTCCTAGGTAACAATTTCCTAGGGTTTTCCTTTTTACAAGTAAGCTACAGGCAGAAGTTTCACAACCTTACGGACTTGAAGCTTTAGGTTCCCAGTGATAAAGCTAACAAAGTAACTGATAAACTGTAATACCTTATTATGAACAGTATGGTATAAGGAATGACTATTTTGCCATGGGGGGGTTTACAGATACTTGTTAAGATAAATAAAGACAATCTTGGGATACATTTCATGCCCTTGGGCACAGAAGTGTCCTTGCACTTTTCTTGCAACCTGTATTACTTTTAACAGTGTCTCCATCAAGCTTTCTTATTCTTGTTTCTTTCTCATCTATGGCCTAATTATCCATTTCCAAATTTTAGAATCTTGCCTCTTTTTTGCTTACCTTTCAATACAAGTTTCTATTAATTTGAGTTGTAATTCCAGCCTCTAATTTTAACTTCTCACACCTAATATCCTTGTTAATCCAGATCCAGACATCTGCAGATACTAGCTTATAGCACATTATCCATATGCCACACATCCAGTTACTTATCAAGATTTCATCCACTTCAGATGACTTTACCTGGCTTTCTTACCCTATCTGTCTTCTGTCCCCCTCTTTCCTTGTATACTCAGCTACTGGGTCCTGTCCTTGTGTAGTAAGTCCAAACCACTCAATCCCTCAACTTCAGTCACCATTACTGTCAGCCAGTGATTTCTTATTACTAGCTCCCTTTCACAGTGTCTTCCAGTGCCCTAATTTCTGTGTTTCTATGTGTTTAACCAGTATCAGTCACTCGCCCAGTTACATTTTCTGTCTCTATTTCCAATTCCAACTGCATCAGACTTCTTGTCCTAATTTCTCTAAATCTTAAATTTTATGGGAGTTTAGGGTTTATAGACTTAGAGAAGATTACTGTTGGCTGTAACAGGACACATTTTCCATTGCAGGACTACTCTCAAATTAACTAATGATTTTTTTTAAATAGTTTTTAATATCCTCAAATGACAGGACATCTGTTTCTTTTTCTGGGGACATCAGTTCTCTTTGCAGCACATTTAACTAAAATGCCTTTTGTTTTGTGTTTCTTTCATTTATTTTGCCCATAATACTGACTGTTATGACCAGCATCAAGTCAACGTCTCTTATCTGCTATCCTCTGTAAAGTCCCTTCAATAGAGTATCTTTCTCCCAGGGCTTCTCTCTCCTATCTTTGCATTTCTCTCTGTTGCTCTCTGTGTTTCCCCTTTCTCTTAATCAAAAGCAATTCCATTTGTACCCATAGACCCTCAGAGACAAGGTTGTCTATCTGTATAATGCCGTGTAAACCAATGGTCATATATTCTCTACAGTACTGATTGATTAAACCCAAGAAAAGAAAAGCATCTGATTCTTTATACATTTTACCAAGTTTTTTCTTGCTTTTTGTTCTCATTAAGCATCTTAGGAATGTTAAATATATATATAAACTTGTAAATTTTTTCATTTTAATTCAGTTGACACTTCCTTATCAGGTGTTCAATTTTTGTTGCTGCTTAGTAAGTACTGTAGATTTGTTGTTACTCATTTATTATTGCATGGTACTTCTAGCAGAAAGGTGCTTCAGTTTAGTATAGAATCAGGATTCTCAAATGGATTCATCAGGTCATTTTGAGAGTGAAAATGTATTTTCATTTTCCCATGTGACATCTCTTCTTCTCTGCTGGATCATTTTGACACTGTTTCATCATCTTCCCTTGTATTACTGCTTTCCCGTTTTTCTTCCCCTTCTGTTTCAACCTCCCCCTTCCTGCCAAATACTACTTCTGAATATCCCAGATCTTTCTTATTATGCCACTTCTTTGACCTGTGAGGCAACATGTGCATATGATGTGGAGCTATGTGTGTGCTGGTTGACCAGGTGGCTGACTAGGAGATACATGCATTCTAAGGGGTGAGTGACAAGCTAGGAGATAACTCATTTTCTGCTGGACATCTTGTTGCTGCCTTTTGGCAGCTGGGCAAATCAAACAGTACATGGTGCTTCTCAGCAGCTGATGGGCCAAGCAAATGGTTTTTCAAGCTGCAAGAGACCCACGCCCACCTGTTGTGCAGGCCTGCTATAAAGGTTGAACATTTCAGCAGGGAAAAGAAGTCAGGAGCTGGAAACAAAGCTGTCAGAAGCCTGGAAGGCAAAGAGTGGATTTTTTTTCTAGATATATTGAATAACTGCCCAAGGAAACATCTGCTACTCAGCTAGGCTGTTTATGGAAACAAACAGCTGACTCTTCTAGACCCATAGAAATATGAAAAGGTTCTGTAAAGCAGCAATTACAAAACAGTGGTCTGGGTTATTTTAGAGATGAACTTTTCTGTGACTTTTAGGCCATTTAGCCTGTTATTCCATTATTCCAGCTGCAATTCCAGATTTAAAAAAAAAAAAAAAAGCAGCAGCAACAACAACAAAAATATCACCCCCACAAAAATAAACCTAATACAAAAAAAAAAAAAACCCACAAAAAACTAAAAAATGAACAAAAAAAAAAAAAGAAAAAAAGAAAACCAACAAAGCAAAAACACAAAACACAAACCCCAAAACAGACCTAATACTTTCCATTTAATTTGTCAAGAAAAAGTCTTTTTTTCAGCTTAGAAGTCAACAGACAGTAAGAAGGTCTGCCTATGTTTGTGAAATACCATGAACGTGTGACTTTCAGCAATCTAACAGATAGATAGATTTTGCATTTTTCTTTTTACCTGTCTGATTATCAGATTTCCTCCTTAAGTTTTCCTTTCTTAAGGTTTCTGAAGTTCAGTAAGACAACTGCTTTCAGTCCTTACAGCTTTGGTTAACTGCAAGCATAAGACAGGACCATGCCCTCCTTAGGGTTTTTCTGTCACCTGTTGGTATGAGTAGTGATCTGAGCTACCAGAAAACTGTGAAAAAGACAACAGAATGGAGCAAAGCTGTTGTAGCAACCCACTAGGGAGTGTTGGCTGCTCTCTTGTTATTGATCCTTCTCTGCATGCCAGAGTTTGTCAAACAAATTGATGCATTAGTGAAAACGTATGCATATATGGTGTTCAATTTTAGAAGCTGAAGGGGAGTGTCTTTCCTGCATTCCTCTTCTCTGTTGTCTTTCTCATACTCAAAGTGTTTTCAGATCTAGTGGTGGTGTAAAAGGGGGGAAACTGTTGGAAGTTTAGTGTCCACCCCTCAATGACATTTAGTGGAACTGCTTTACTAACTCTAGTTAGT